TCTGTCTTGTTGGCTCTTTTTTCCATGTGGGCAAGTTGCTTTTGAGCAGAATCCAGCTTGGTGTTAATAGTTGACATCTGCTTCAGCAGAGGGTGCAATGCTGCGGCCAGCATATTGGGGAAGTCTGCATCCATTTCCTGTGTCTGGGTGGGAGTCGTTGGTACAGTACTTCCTGGGGGAAGTTTCTTCTCTGCCGCCATTCTCCTCCCTCTCCCAAACATGTTTGCAAAGAAGAAAAGTTTTATTTTTAAAGTAAAGTTTCTCTGAATTCGGCGCTTCTTGGCTTAAAATGCAGCTTTCAAGCTCAGCAGAAGTCTTGTATACTTAGTTTTGTTCTTTCTCTCTTTTCTATAGTGCTTAGAAACCGCTCCATTTTGAGGGGGGTGGAACGCCAAACCTTCCCCACCTTCCCTCAACGATCTGGCAGACCGAGACTTCTTTGTTTATATAGAGGTCTGATTAACTATTTAGGTGTATTCGATTGTTGCAAGAGGCTTATTTTCGCTTATTTTCTTGTCCGCTTGTCCGGCGGTCAGCTCTGAGCACCATACTGGCTCCGGTGCGTCAGGACCTCTTGGGGACAGGCAAGCCTTGATTCCTCGGCCGTTGCCTTGGGAGAGGCTTATCCCAGCTCCCCAGACTGGGGGTCTCCTACAGAGACCCCGGAGGGGTCTGGAACCAGCCACGACCCCTCCTGATCGCTGATCGCCGCGGCTTGGCACGTCTCCATTGGACGTTCGATGAGACGCGTCCAAGAGCAAGCCGCCATAAACTGGAAACCTCCCCCAAAGCATTTTAAGGTTCCCTTTAAATGCTTTGGGGGAGAAGCAGGGCCACGTGCCTGCACTCCATCCCCCCCCCCACTTCTCCCATTTAAAGCAAGTTGCCGAGGAGACATACAGAGAGCTGCTGGGGGAAGAAAGGGCAGCATGAGGTGGTGAGCACAAGAAATAAGTCGGGGGGGGCTGGCCAGGGTGGTAAGTTGGGGGGCTCTGGTGAAAAGTCAGGGAACAGGGCCCCGAAATGCTCCACTGTAGCTATGGCCCTGCTGTGAAATGGTGGTGGTGTTCCTGGAGGTGCTATAATGTGCAGTTGTACTGTCAGAGAGAAAGTATGGGGGGATAATCAGATTAAAACAGTGAATGTGTAGAGAAAGGATTTGTGTCTCCAGAGTGTTAAGTAAGAGAGAATTTGTCTCACAAGATTATGTAAGTCTCACAGTCTGACGTTTGTATTAAAGCAGGCTACCATGGTGAACTCCTGAGGAAGAGACTAAAGTTGTCTCAGGGTCCAGTTTCTGAGGGAAACTAGTGAAAGATTTGTGGTTTCTAAGAGGATCTCATGGTTACACTGTGAGAATATTGAGGCTGAGGAAAAGCCAATATTCACCTGGCTGTTACCTGTACTGTGAACCAAAGAGTTAACATATGAAATGTGATTAAATGTGCCCAACAAAATTCGTGGGTTATCTTTAAATAGTTTTAAGCCTCATTACTGAACCTCCTTATTTTTCCTATTCCTGCTAGTGAATAAAAACTATTTTTTAAATTATGTTTTCCTGAGTTAGTAACAGCATTTAGAAGTCCACTCAGGTTCAGTCTGTGAGTAGAATGTTGGAGACCACCTTGGTTACACTACATAGCATACCCCCTCTCCTACCCGACCTTCACAACAATATTATCATCAGATCCCTCCCCCAACTTATTTGTTTAAATATTTGTACCACCTTTCCGCCAACCAGGGCAGCTCACAAAAGATTCTGACCTACAAATAGCAATCATAAGATATAGGCAAGAACGAAACAACTTTCCCTCTGTATGAAAGTATAAAATGCCCACATAAAAGTAATGGCCTTACATTATGGAAGTTGGACAACATAGGGACTTTTTTTTTTTGGGGGGGGTCTATAATGTTGGAACTGCAACTGAAAAAGACTAGCCCCATGTTATAGTTTAACAGACAGCGTGAAGTGAGGGCTCAACAAGAGGAAGGCTCTGGGAGGATCTGAGATAACAGGTAAAATCAGAACAGAAAACAGCCATCTGAATATATGTCTAAATCCAAAAAGTATCATAGAGTGTGGATCAAAGTGGACAAATGGGACGTGTGTCTCTACAAACCTGAAGGAAGGCCGAGGTTTGCAGAAAAATCTGAAACACTACTAACAAAGAAATTGGGGGATTAACCCCCCCACCCAAATACTAGAAACAATGACTGTAGCTTTAAGAATGCTTACTGTCATGACCTCCTCCAACCTGCTCAGTGACTCTCAGAGTCCTCAGGGAGGAACTTGTGGAGCCAAGGTTGGTGGCTGAGGAGGACCAGGGAGGTCCCATCACTGCAGAGGCCACCATGCCAGAACCTGCAAGAGAAACCTCGCCACTAGCCTAAGGCAGCTTCCAAGCCTCTGCCATGCAGGACTCAAACCCAGGCCTGTAGCGCTCCAGGATCCTCTCTCAATTTGCAGGAAAAGCAGCAACAGAAGTTCTGGCTGAGGTAGCATAGAGGAGGCTAAGTGCCATACTGGCTGCACACAATTCAGATGTTGAGCTAAAACACTGCTCTGGTGGTGGTAGTTCTCTGCAGGATCCTTGCCAGAGCTCTGTGCAGCTTTGGGAACTCAGCACCTGTTGTGCAGCTGGGGCCAATTACATCCCAGCCTGTTTAGGCTAAGGTTTGGGAAGACTGCTTTGCTGGATCAATTAGTTCTCAAGCCTACAACCATTGCTTGTAGATCTAGTTCCAGACTTTGCTTGCATCTGCACTCCACACCCTGACCAAGTGATCATCTGTAGGGTGAGTCCTGGATCTCAAGATGAGCTGACCAGGAGGCCTGAGGCTAGAACATCTACCTACCTACTCTGCTATGTCATTTTGGCAGTTGCTAGATAGCCCCAACAATATTTGCTGAGCTTTAGACCTTAGTTTCTATAAAAGGGAGGAGGAGGAGGAGGAGGGGAGGGCATAGACTTGGAGACCAGAACAGTTTGGTTCTCCCCTGTCATGTTTCCTGATGGAGAAGGACTTGCTGGGGACAGGCCCGGCCCAGCAGTGGACACTGTGCAATTTAGATCACTTCTTTATGGGGAAAAACTACCAGGGTGAGGGAAGCAGGAAAAGCTGGGACTGGGAGTAGGTAAATATTGGCTTGTTAATGGGAAGAAAAAGAGAAGGAAAAGTGGAGAAGTTATGGGGGCTACCAGGAAAGGACGAGAAATAGCAGGGGAGGGGAATACAGAGGAAGATGCAATATGCCTCACAAGTCCTTACTGCCCCCCCCCCTGTGATACACAGACCTCAGGCATCCATTCAATGCAATCAGCGAATTCCTTAATGTTAGGTTGATTGATAAAATTTCTACCCCGCCCTACCGGCCAAGGCCGGCTTCTGTTTGCTCTAAGCCCATTTTTAAAGGTCTATGAGAGAACTCTGGGATTTTATCCTGTTTGGGGTGAGCTGTAGAAAATAAACTCGTTCGTCAGATGCCGTTTCAAAAACAAGGGACTCCTAAATGCTCTCCATTGTAGATTGCCCCCCTAGAGGGCCATGCGTCCCCGTTAAAAATCACTTTTAAAAGCCCCATATTCCTGCACAATATATGTGGGGATGGATATATCTCTCCCTCCATCCTGTTTAGGACAGGAAAATTATACCTTGCTTTCGCAAAACGAGTAAAAACTCATCACAAGCCTTCTTTACACGTGACGTTTTCCTACCCAGAGACAATCTGCCCTGTGGATTTGTGGCAAAATTAAGTCGCGCTCAGCCGACTTTATCCGTGACGTTTTTTTCTCAGAGCAAATGGATTCAGGTAGGTAGTCGTGTTGGTCTGAAGTAGCAGGGCAGAGTTTCGAGTATGAGCATGCACACTTCTTCAGTTTTCTCCATACGTGTTAACAATGCTGGGCTAATGCTGCCTGTAAGAAAGACAGTCAGGTGGCTTTCTGCCAGGGGAGCCAGGCAAAGGGCCCCGCTGCTGCAACGTTCCTGTGCATGCCGTGGGCCAAAAGCAGCGGTCGCCGGCGATGACAGAAGCGTGGGGGCTCTGCTTTGAGAGACAGCAACAGCAAAGTATGAGTGGAGCGGCTGCGCTAGGAAGCCGGTGAAGACAGCCAGGCAGGTTACTGCGGCAGGCTCGGAAGACTGTCTGCAGCCCCAGGAGGAGGCCGCGGCTCCATTGTCAACTTTCTCCAAGCACGCAGATTTCAAATCCTAACGGCTGCGTGGAGCCTGCCGGGGGGGGGGAGAGGAGGGGACTGGAGGCCCCGCCTGTCGTGTGGGTGTGCACTGGCTCTTCACACACCGGCTGGCGTACAGTAGCCCAGTGACGGTGTGTTTGTATTACACAAGGAAGGATATTTTCCCTCCAATACTAAGGCAACAGGAGCGCGAGCAAACACTGCACGCACGCTTTCTTATCCTCTTTTAACATGGGGGGGGGGGGGGAAGAGGGTTTCTCGCTCGCTTGCGATCTCACCCCAGCCAGTAAAATGGCCCGTGTGTGCGCGCGTGCAACAGCAAGGCTGCAATCCGCCACCGCTTTGTAAATAAATTAACATTTGAGTCTCGCGGTGCATTTCGGGATTTGTAGTGTGCGGTCCGACCGTCTCTTTGAGCCAGGGAGCTAGACAGAACTACCTTTCCCGTGAACGCACATGGACGGAGGGAGGAAAGGGAAGGCAGAAAGAAAAACAGACACACGTAGAGCCAGAGCGAGCGCAGCGGGGCAGGTTGTTCCTGATGTCTCTGGACTGCAGCCGCCGGAGAGAAAACAGCTGAGAGAAGTCTCGCACATGACCAGAGCGGGAAGCGGAGCCAGCCACGCGCTGCCTTGACCAGCGGCCAGCTGGAGCTCTGAGCGTTGTCCAGCGAGGCGCTGCGGGCTCTGCTGCTTGTCCTGGCCGGGCTCTGCTCCTGGCTCCTTTTTGCAGGGAGCCGAGGCGGGAGGCGAAGGGCTAGAGGCTAGCCGGACTCTCCCTCCCTGGCGCCGGACTATGCCGAGCGGGCGTTTTGGTGCTGCCTCCTCCCACCGGCGTTGAGGCAGAGCCTTGGAGCAGCCTGCACGGCTGTAAGACGTGAAGGGAGCTGCTCGGCCCTCGCTGCCCCCTCCTGGGTCGCCCCGACAAAAGGGGAGACGGAGGTGGCGGCGGTGCAGCAGCAGCAGCAGCAACGCCGCCCTGCCGAGTGACTCTACTTTCGAGGAGGCAGCGGCCGTGCGGGATGAACGGCTTCGGTCCCGAAGAAGTCACCCGCGGTGGGGGGGAAGCTGCCGCCGTCCCTGCCGTGGTGGCCAACGCGGCGGCGGCCGTCGAAGTCCTCCCTCCTCCGCGGGCCCGGCGCAGGGCAGCTGTGTTGCCTGCGCGAGGAAGGCGAGCGGTGCAGCCGGGCGGCGGGGAACGCCAGCTTCAGCAAACGGATCCAGAAGAGCATCTCGCAGAAGAAAGTCAAGATCGAGCTGGACAAGAGCGTAAGTGGCCGCGGTGGGGCAGCTGGGGAAGGGGGGCGCCTGGCAGGGTGTGTGCGTGTGTGTGGTGCGGGGGGGGTCATCTCTTGATCCCACCCCGAGGCCAAGGTAGATGGGGGCTTCTTCCCCCCCCCCCCCCCCAGCCTAGTTGGCACTCTCGGGGGTGGGGCGGCGGCGAAGGAAACAAAAGCAAATCGGGGCCAGAGAAATGAGAGGAGAGAAGTCTTTCTGTGAGAGCCCGTCGCTGCATCGGCTTCCTCCGCGACCGCTTAGTTCGGAGAAAATCTGGCTAGATTTCAGAGCTTCATTGGAGCTTGGCTTGCCTTCCATTCATCCTGTTGCCCTCTTTGCTTTCACTTCGTTCTCTCCCGTTTTCCCCAACGCCTCCACCCCCCACCCCCCCGCAACGAGTTGCGTTTCTTTCTTTGGCATGGAGGGTCCTTGTGTGAGAAAAGGGTTAGTCGCTCGAAGTATCTGAGAGATTCAAGGCAACGGGGCTTGATGTCCTTCTCCTGGTGCCTGCTGCGGGCTTTCCGCTCAAACACCCCCCCACCCCCCCCGTTTTGCGTGCCCTTGGAACAGTTGGCTGCATGGCTGACGTTGCAAAAGCGGAGCGGCTTCTGCTACTGGTCTTTGTGAGTGCGGTTAGAAGTAGCCTCGTCCTTCTTTTTTCTCCTCCTCCCTCACATATTTTATTCTTTCCCATTCCTCTCCTTCTCCGTTGCTCCTCACAACCCACCAAGGTGTGTTCTTTTTAGCGCGAAGGGCGATCAGGGGAACTTCTCTGCATAAGAAATCGGGCTCCCTGGATTGCTCTTGTGCGGGAAATCGCACCTCATTTCTGTTTCGCTTTCCCTAAGAGCGGTGCGTGGGTTTCATGGGAGTGCTTCTGTTTTCCCCGGAGAGGACAGTCCTTGGCTGCTTCGCCTCGTGCTGCAGCGTTGCACGTCCGACTTTGCCACTGTGCCTTCTTCCCCCTTGGCAGCCATCAGGCTCTTTATAGCCGCTTTCCTGCAAGTGACATAAATGCAGCCGTGGGTACGTGCAAGGTTGCTCACCATCCTCTTTCCTTCCAAATATAAAATGGAAATCGGGGGCGGGGGAGGAGCCATTTAGTGAAATAGACATCCCTAAAGTCGGAGCACGTTAACCTGCGGAGTAAATGTCTGCCGGCTTATGGCTCCCTAATGCTCCACGAATACTTGTTCGTTCCGGTTAATGCGCACCAGTGTCAGGAATGCTTTTTTTTTTTTTTGTACTGACGCAGTTAACGTGTGTTGTTAAATGCAACAGCAAATAGAGGTTTCTAAGAAAATTCATTGAATTTGCTGTCTGCTGTCAGGAGATCATGTAAAGGTTTGGCTTTTGGAGACTGTTTTCAGTTTGTATTGCTTCCCTTGCGTGATTGTTGTGATAGTTGGATCCTAGCTTTTGAGAGAGATGCAGGATTTACAGGCCGATCCGTTGGCTATTTACTGGTAAGTACTACCAGAGTTCATTGGTAAATTTGATTAGGATTTGTAGTAGTTAGGATTCCAGTGCTAGGTTCAGTCTTAAATCTCAGTTACGATAAAAATCCCACTGGATCAGTGGGACTTGTGAAGATGTTTAAGAGCATTCTCTTAATGTGCTATCTAGATGTTGTTGCCTGTAGTTTCAAAAAGTTTGAGATTCTAAAGTATTTATGTATGAAAATGAAGAGCATCTCCTTGCCTTCGAGAAATGGGCACATTTCTTGCAGCATCTTGACATCAAAGTAATGTGCATGTATAGAAAATATTACAGGATTTGGCCTTGAACATTTTAAATCTTATTGAAAGCTTTACAATTAGCAACATTTTTTTTTAAGGAACTGAACATTTCATTTGGTCACTTTGCCTTCTTCTGGCTACCTATATTTAAAAGGCTCCTATTGTAGTTTTCTCTTGGCTGGTGGGAGTGATAGGGTGGTGAAAGGCATTTCCGGAGCCAAGTTGGCCGCACTGCAGTAACTTTTTTTAATGCACCAGATTTTGTCTGGGAGGCTTGGATACAGTCAAAAGTGTGTGTGTTTATCATGTGGCCTACAGTAAGATGTTGACATGGTAATGATTGACTTGCTGTAAGCCAGTGTTGTTTGGGTACAGCTTATGAAATAGAGAAGTTTGAAATTTTGCTCCAATTGTATGGCATATTATTGACATGTCTCTTTAAACTTTTAGGCAAGGCATCTGTATATTTGTGACTTTCACAAAAACCTAATCCAAAGTGTCCGAAACAGAAGAAAGAGAAAAGGCAGTGATGATGATGGGGACTCGCCCGTGCAAGATGTTGACACTCCAGAGGTAGATTACTAGTTCTTGCAATCGGAAAAATATATACGGTTCTTATACAGGATTCTTGAAAATAACGCTTTCCTAGGGTTACATTAGCAGCTCAAGCATTTTTTTCCGTATTGAATCTCACATATTGTTATATATGTGGGGGGTTGTGTTTTATGACAGTGTTCATACTTAGATGTACCCTCTTAAAAAGGAGAGTTTAGGAGTGTGGAACAAGTGTAGATGGCAAGTGTTCCTAACATCAGTACTAACCACTTTATTACAGAGCATAGTTTTGTATAACATTGGAAATGAAATACTTAGAAATGAAGCCTTTTGAAACTGCCCTCATGTGGTATCTTCTACCACTGCTGCAGTCCTGTTGGATGGGAGAGAGTTTTGGAACCACCTCTTTGTGGCAGAAGCTGGTCTTGTGCTCTCAGTGCAATGCAGTAGAATCACATGCTACATGTGACAATGCAGAAAAAAATTAGAGAGGTGGTTTTCAAACTTCATCCTTGCAGTAAAGATAACTTGCATGCCAGTGTTCAGATTAAAGAATCCCGTTGTTTCCTTTCTAGGTTGATCTGTTTCAGTTGCAAGTAAACACACTAAGAAGATACAAAAGGCACTTCAAGTTACAGACTAGACCAGGACTTAACAAAGCACAGCTTGTTGAAGTACGTGCAGATTGTAACCAGTAAATATAAATGTGTATATGGTCTTTCTGAACTGTAGTTCTTTCACCATTGTATATAAAGACTGTCTATTTTTTAATCTCTGCTGACTAGCATCCCTTCTGTTTTCTTCCTGACCATATCCCTAGCAGGATTGTTTTCATTTTGTACTTATAGAACTCTTTGAGAGTGGTAGTCAAAATTAAAGTATTTAGGATACTCACATCCCAGATTAACTATGAAAAACTCCCAAAGGTTCACCAAACTGATTAACTGGTTCATAGAATGATAGATGAGATTTTGTGGCAAGTATCTACCAATTGTTGGATTCTGGACCAAACAGTACTAACTTCATATATATGCTAGTGGGATTTGAAGTAATGGTAAGGAACTGGAGAAGAGATCTTGGATAGCTAGAAGGCTCTCTAAGAGTGTTAGCTCGGCATGATGTAAAAATAGAAAAAGCAGATTCAGTGTTCACCATTATCAGGAATGTGATTAGAATATAAAAACTGCAGGCATTGCAGGTGTGCACATATATTTGGAGACCGATTAGTTGCCTGCCTCATGTCAAAAAAGGTGCAGGGGTGGATCTAAGGAATCTCTTCCGCTACCTAGGGAGTACTCCTTTAGTGGAAGCCTCCTCACTTAAGGGAAAGGAATCTTTGAATCCATTATAAATCTGGAGAAAGTACAAGAAAAACTAGAATCCTTAGAGGACAGCTAAGACAGGGGAAATGAGATTTATGAAAAACGCTCAGTAATAACAAAGATCGTTCAGTCCCAGAATGGTAGTGCCTGGGAACATACAGTGAAATTGATAACATTGAATAAACAGAGCTTTGTGTCACAGAACTTCTGGAACACATACCGAATGCAGCGCTGCCTCTCCTGGCCTCCCTCCAGCAACCTCACCCGCTCCTTGTGCTCTGGAGGGGATTTAAGTGGGGCTGGCAGTACTCAGAGGGGGGGGTCCCTTCCTACCTCTTACCAGTAACACCCCCATTGTCACTGCCAGTGGTCCATCACAGCTCCCACTTTAAATTAAATGTAAATGAAAGCTGAGAGAGGGAAGGGATACCCCTGCAAATATCATGGCTCCTCCCCCCCCCCCCCCAAATCACAGCTGCCAGCTCCTGGCCTCCGCCACAAGGCCCATTGTTCTCCCCCCCCCAACCTTGATGCTGACCAGCTGTGCATGGCCTCTGGCCTTCACTGCTGGGTTTGCTGAGGCTCCCCAAATCCCTTCACCCTCATAGCTGCCGTGGGTGAGCCCAGTGTGACTTCCACCATCCCAGCATCAATGCTAACACATCCAGCATGGCTCCTGGCCTCCTGTGCCAGGCCCGCTGCAGCTCCTGACCCCCCCCCCTCTATTGTAGCAGCTGCCGTTGGCAAGCCCATTGGAGCTCCCCGCCTCAGGCCTGCTGTGGCTTCTGCCCCCCCCCCCTTTGCCGCCAAGGATATACTGATTGGCGTAAGTGTATTGTCTGTGCATGCAGAGATAACACTTTTCGGGGGGGGGGGCATTTAACCTCTCCCAAAAAGTATTTTTTCAAGTTTTAAAATTTTTCTGTAAACCTGGGGAGCGTCCCAAGTTTGGAGAAAAAATTGCCTTTATATCAGTGTGGGCCTGATCTGCAGATTTAGGTATCTGCAGGTCTGACCATACTGAGGGAAATAGTGTATAGATTCCCAGTAGTCCAGAATTCCTAGCAAAATGTTTAAGGTTGGGCAGTTAGGTATCTATGGGATATTTCAGTCTGGATGAAATAGGGTAAGGTTATGAGAAAGAAGTGCTATGTTCCTTTTAGAAAAAATGTTGGCTGAACAATAGCCAACAAGCTTGAAGAATGTGTCAGTTCTAAGCTTGTTTTTTAAAAACTAAGACTAGATTCAGCTATATCAGTGAGTAGATTACAAATGCACTGAGTCTGAGTAATATAGTGAAAATTCACCATCCTTGAACTTTTTCTTACAGATAATTGGATGTCATTTTCGGACTATTCCAGTGAACGAAAAGGACACCTTAACCTATTTCATCTACTCTGTGAAGAATGACAAGAACAAATCTGATCTAAAAATGGATAGTGCTGTCCACTAAATAAACAAACTTGAGACTTGCAGACTTAAAGACTGTTTTGGATGTACTGAAGCTTTCTTTATAACTGGTATTCAGAGAGGAAATCCTGATGTTATTTTTCATTGTTGCTGGGTCGGGAGGGGGGATTGCTAAAAAATGATATTTCCATGGTAAAAGATATTTTAAATAAATACTATTGATGTTTCTGTGCCTGCATGTGTTTGCTGTATGGCATGTGTGTAAGGCTGTTCTTTTCAATCTGTCTGTTAACTTCTTAGAATAAATTGAAATGTGGAATATCCTCTGAAAGTAACATTTTCCAAACATTTAATCTGGATAGTGCTGTGAAAATGCAAAAGCACCAAGTGCACCTTCCATAATCAAATTAGCTTGTCTTCCAGTAATCTAGTTGCAAATACTACTGATGGCATTTGAATTTTTTTCTCAAGAGGCCTTTGCATAAAAGAACTCTGGATACACTTTTGAGTTCTTATCTTTACCTTCTGTGTCAATTCAAATATCATGGTATGCTTTGGCATGATGTCTGTATTGATAAACCTGGTTTGGTAGCAGCTGACAAACCATGAATTGGAAACCATGGCTTGATATAGGTATGCAAACCATTGTGTGTGTGCTAACTAAAGTTTGACAGTATTTCTGAATTAGCAAACTGTAGGTTGTTGCTTAAACTTCTGATGTTGCTGGAGCATGGAGACAAGTGAATTTTTGGCTCTGAGGCCAGAAAAGGAAAATAGGCATGTAACTCTTAATAGTCACTTGAAAGCTTAAACCAAGGTTTGAATTCTAGAGTATGTTTCGCAAACCACCGATTGACCTTGTGCCTGATCTGGGCCTTAGTATTAGCTGTTGCGCATTTGCTGCTTTCAAAGTAATAGATCTGGTTGCAACTCATAATAATTGCTATTATATACAGGCTTGCAATTTGATGTACAGTACTAGTGGTATTGGAGGCTATAGTCAGCAAACTCTAATTCTAGAGTACTTCCACAGACTTCAGTTTAAGTATACAACAAACTTTTCTTTTTGTATCCACTATGGAACTCCTGCTGAGGAATAGCAAACTGAATGTTTTGTATTACTATTTCAAGTACTGTTTCTTGTACTCTTAATTTCTGTACTAACTCCAAAGTAGAGAAGAATAAGATCCCTTCTTTGTCATCAATATAACTTGAAAAGTGACGTTAATCTGCAGAATATAAGGAGCTGTGAATTGGTAATCCAGCCATTTAAATTCTGTACACCAGTCAGGAATCCTGATCTAGCCGAGAGCATTCTGCAAATGGATCTGCTTGATTCCAGATGGTTGGTGGTAGTGTCTGTGCACAACTGTTTTTTTGGGCTAAGGGTGATTCTACGTGGAGCCATAATGAGTGATCAGTGCTTTTGGAACGAGCAGCAAGTGTACAGAAACAGTTGCAGGCCTTATCCTGATAATATCCTGCCCCTTTGCTTGCAAAGTTTACAGCCTTTCTCCCACATAATTATACAGGAGTTCAGTGACACCTTGAAAACTAACAAAACACATTCCAGCATAAGCTTTCATGGGTGAAAGCTCACTTTGTTAGGTATGTGAAGTGTTCATCCATATCAGCTATACTTAAAGCTGCAGGCGCAGTGGTTCGACACTTTATGCAGAAGTGAGCTCTGACCTGCAACAGCTTTTGCTGGAATAAATTTTGTTAGTCTAATGTGCCAGTGGATTCCCATTTAATTTTGCTGCAACAGACTAAAATGGCCACTCTTCTGGAATTACTTTCCTCCAACTTAAGTGACTCATTTACCTGAAGGGCCACGTAAGTTGGAGGAATGCTTCTGACTTTGCGAAGCAAAGTGGTAGGGAACAAGCCCTTGAATTCTGGACTGAAGTAGTGATGTGTAACAGCATCCGGGGGGGTGGGGGGGGGAGCGCTAGTACTCCAGGGCTCTGTGTGCTGGTTTCAAAACACTTTCAAAATCCATCTCGCACCTGTTTCTCCTGTGTTGGAAATAAGTTCAGCTGCTGTATTGTCAGCCCAGTTTAGAATAGATGTGGCCAGTTCCAGTTGTCTAATACTGTCTTAATATGTTGATATAGTTAGTATTTGATTCGTTGAGAAGTTAGACTTGAATTTTTCTTAAACAAGAAAAGCTAATGCATTTAAGCTCAATCTGATGCTTGGTGAGCACTTAGTAAGCCACCGAGGTATATTGTTGCCATCGCCTATCATCTGATTGAGAGCACAGTACTTCAAAGACTGTTTTAAAAAAAAATAAAAAATAGAGCTTCGGTTAGTGATCAAGAGCTTTTCTAAAGTTGCTGTCTTGCTCATCTTTACTTGGGACTAAGGGACTTTGAAAGCCACAATATATAGTTCTAAAAAACATGGTTAGGGATCAGGCTACAACATTGAAGAAGCAGGTGATGAGTTTACCTGATCTGTTTTGTGGTCTGTGATTTTCACTGGTGTGAAATTCACACAAGGCTTTACTCTTGATACAGACAATCCATTGTGTTTTGTCATCATGAGCCACCTTTGCCTTGTGGTTTAATACAAAGACCCAAGTGGAATGTTTTTGCCCCATAGATTGGCTAGAGCTAAAGACTGATTGAAAACAAAGGCTGCACATTTTTCTGGAAATAAGCCCCGTTGGCTCAGCAGGACTTGCATCTAACTAAATATGCATAGGCTCAGCTTGTAAAAGAAATTTATTAAGGTAACTTTTTAACATGATCGCTTCCAATAAACTAGTCTTCAAACTCAATGTAGCGGAAGCCCAAGCATGGCTGGTATTTTGAGCATTTCTTTTTCGACACTCTAAATCTCAATTGTGCTGCTAAAAAAGAAATGGGGGGAGGGGATAAGAAGACCATAGAGAAGAGTGTGCACACCATTGTTCTTGATTTGGCTGACTGGCCATTTTGAGAGCTATCATGGGTAACTGTCGTGGCAAACCCCCCCTCCCCCACTTGGAGAGATTCTAGTGGCCTCACAGAGCTGTCCAACAGTAGGCAGTAAAATTTAATGGAAGCTACCTTAGAGAACTTGTGCTACATTGAAGATGACTTCAAACTGTACAGCTGGAATGGTGCCAATCTAATTCATTATATTTTTGTACAGCCTTTCTGTGTACTTTTTATATACTCAAGTGCTCACAGCACTTCCTATACCTTTTCTCAACAGTCTTGGCCACTAACTCTGCAGCATAAACTAGTATTAACCCCTATACTAAAATGAGGGCATGAGGATGAGAGATTGGGATTTGCTGAAGGCCACCTTGTTTTGTTCATGGCTCAGGTGACATTTTGAATTGATGACCTTTTCTTTTAACAGCTGCATGGCACAGCTTGTGTTATAAGGCATAACAAACAGGAAACAAGTACAATCTGGAAGCATTACTATGTAGGCAGTAGCTATATTAGAAATACTCGTTACATGGACTCATATTCAGAGCTTATCTGGACAAAAAGCAAATGCTGTATTACCTTTACCTTTAGGATAATGCAGCTTTCTAATACTCTGGTGTTAAAGTACTGCTGTGCTTGGTAGTACTTTGTTCTGATCTAGATCTTAAGGAGGAAGTTAATGCATTCAAAGCATTTGGGTGAGAACTGTGAGCACAATACAAGATAAGCAAGCAAGTCATCTTGAAAGGCTGAGTGAGGCAGGATGCTACTATGTAGCTAAAATCCTATTCTGCGCTGCTTTTAAAGCTGCTTCTCCAGCTTCTAATTGGGAATCTTGCAGAAGAGAGTCTGTACCAGGTGGGGATAGGTGACATCCATCTGCTTGCTTTAAAGTTTAGAAACTATCCAAATGTTTATCACGAATTTACCATCTTGTGGCTTAAATTTATGCCTTGCTCTCCAGCTTCCAAAAAACAGGATGAGTACTTATTTCCGTGCTGTGCCAGAACCTTTTAAATACCATTAATGTTGTGAATGTTCTTTTCTGTAGATTCCCTCTCATTCAGCCATCATATGAAGTTTATCAACTGAAGGATCCCAATACATAGCTGGGGAATTGCGTCCATATTGGGGAATCGCACTTGCTGTAGACCCCTGATACTAAAATAAAACTTATGATGAAGGCAGGCACACATAATTTCAGCAGTGAGCCCACTATGGCATTGCTGTTTACACACAGTATTCTCAGACCAGGCTGTACACAATGCTGATTGGCTGGCTCCTATCAGGAATGCAACTTCACCACTGAGGCGATTTCCAGTTCCTCCGCATTTTTAAAAAAGTTGAACGAAAATCTAAACATGCTGAGCGTTTGGGGACAGAGAAAGCAAAAACAAAGGGGATAGGTTGACAGAAGTGTGTGTTGCATGTCTGTCAAGAAGTAATGATAGGACTTGCCCTACTTCTGCATTCCTTTGTAAGTCTTGCAGAATTAGGCCTGGTATTCCAAATTCACATGGACAGTTTACAGCAATTTTAAAACCCCTTTTCTGATATTGCTGTGGCTGTGTGACAAATAGGCAATATTCCCTCAGGTTTCTGAATTAATGGCTGGCTGTGGAAGAAGATAACTTTATAATTGCATGTCAACCATCTTGTGTTTCCCAATGAAGGTGTGATTTTGGCCTGCCAATGATGTGTGTCTACCAATTATATACTGGATAACAAGTAATTAAAACCAAATATTTAAGCGCGACATGGTCAGCCCTCTTCCCATCATTTTCCCCATAACCTGTCATGCAACTATAGAATATACTAACATTTTAAGTAGTTGAAGTAATGCTACAGTAGCCACTATTTATTGTGCTACAAAATGTGGAAACACAAAAGTAATCCTATAAACATGCTGTGGCTTATCCTATGTGCTTTGATCTTTTTAATTGAAATTAACATGGCAGCTTCAAAAGTTTCCATAGATCAATGGAAAAACTCCTTTATGTTCCCTGTTGTGAAGTGTGTTTGTATTCCAAGTGGTTTTCACTGATTACGTGTCATCTGAATGGAGAAGGCCTTTTGTTGGTAATCACTTGTAAAATTGTATGAATGATTTTTCATATTAGCTTGTGCTGGGGGTGCAGGCCACTTAAGGTCACAAGCACTTGCACCTGTCATGTTCCTCAGGCTCATTTGTCATTGTGGCTGGAACTTAATGGCTGGAGTAGGAGGTCCCAACATGGAGCCCACGGATGCTAAGGTGCTCGCCTTGCTCTTCGCTTGCTCCTGCCTTCTTTGGAGAGTTGGTGCTTCCCACAAACATTTTGTGGTTGGCTGTGCCTCCCATGTAGCCATTTCGTGGTCATGCCCATCATGCTGTGTCAGAACTCCAGAGGTGCCTACAGACTTGAAAAAGGTTGGTGACCCTGGGCAAGAGAGTACAGCAGTGCACTCTGCAAAGGGTGATGACATATTAACAAATGCATATTCCAAAATCCTAATTAAAAAAAGAAAAGCTTTGGGGGGGGAGAATTTAGGGAAGGTGTGTTCTATATTCGTCCTAATGCTTTTTAAAAAGTGGCAGTCAGCAGAGTTTCCATGTGATGTATAGTTTGCTCCTTTTGTCAGACCAATGACTGAATTAGTATTGGGCTATTTTAACTGGCAGTATTCCAAACAAAACTCTTCCTTAGCCTTGTAATCTGAGATGCCAGGATTTGAGTCTTGGACCTGAAAGAACTACATCCTAGACAACTCTGAACTTGTCGGTAGTAGAACTGAACTAGGTAGCTGGTTTGGCTGATTAGTCAGGCTTAGTGATAAAAGACAGCTGCCAGTCCCTTGCTCCCAGGTGCCCCAAATTCTGAACGGTCTCATCCCTCTCAACTTTTTAAATGGTATTTCTCCAACCCACCCATGTCAGTGAAAGAGTGAAACTGGACAAACATAGTCTTCTGTACAGAAATCTGGGACACATTTATTACTACTACATTCTTGTAGTCTGGTTAGAGAAAACTGCTTACACTGCAATCTCCACAAAGTCATTTCCCCCTTTTCTACTCATGACTTGGCACAACTCTGCCACCTTTTGATGTTCTATAGAAATATATAAAAATTCCTCAATCCCAGTTTGGACTTAAGGCATCAACTATCCTGCATAACCCTAAGCAATTTAAACATATTTAAGGTTGTGAATTTTTAATTAAACTCAGGAACAGTCCACAGTCTTTGGAGGATGATGCATTTATGTAAAGAGAAACCAGAGAGGAATAATGGGACATCAAGTGTTTGTGGGGGGGGTGGGGGGTGTCTTCAATGCTGGTGTCCAGTCTCTTTAGCGGCTGCTTGAATGGAACAAAGCCAATGTAAAATGGCCATAGAATTATTGCCTAAAAAGTAGAATAAGTTCTCAGAATACGTTTTTCTACTTTACGAAGGTAGTGACTTTTTTAATTTTAAAAACTGATAACCCCAAAACCAAAAATGTTTATATGAACTAAGACCATAGAAACCAGCAGCTTTAACAACAGGTATAATTGCTGGTGTATTCTTAAACCTGGTCAAGGAAAAATTATTTAGCTGCCATATCAGATCAGAAAGTAGTGTCCCATATCCGAGATTTTAATAACTTTTTAGATTACAGTCGTAAAACGACTTATTTGGATGAAGGTCTATCACAGACCGTGACTGTCCCCCACTCCCAGGCAGATTTTCCTGCCAAAAAATATTAGTTCCCCTTTGTGACTGAGCTGCCCTTCAGTAGCATGTATTTCTTGTTTATTTTGTAAGTTTTAACTGTCCCACCCTGTTACAGATATTAGTTCAGGGCCCAGGGCTCTTTTTGTAGCAGGACCCAGGCTTTTGACCCAGCACAGGAACAGGAGCTGTCTTGTCTTAAATTTAAACCCTTCTTGAAATGGCACTTGAGCTAAAGTAACTTTCAAAACAGAAATAATATTTTATTGAACAGGCAGGGAATAGGAAATTGTCAAGGTTTAGAAAGGCTGAGGTCAAACCATACTATATATATAGATTTGAATTCTTAGATTATACAAGAGAGTGCATTCATAGTTTGATTTCAAGGTTTTCTAGTTCTTTCTTTGAGAGGTACTTTGTTCAGTATATTTCAGCGCTAACACAAGTTCTTAATACTGTTTTCTGGAGAACAGCATTTGCTTATACTTTCTAGATTTCTCCCTTAAGAGTTCTAGGTTTTTTCCCTTTAGATACTACAGCTTTTCACTGACTCCTGAGGTGTCTAAGCTTCTCCCCTTTATCACAGACCAGGATTCTTTTTCCAACTCCTTTCACTGGCAGGGCGTTATTCTGCTTTCCCTAAGAAGCAATAACTCCTTTTACTATTTGACTTGCACAGGAGTTCTCTCTACCCAGACCTTCTGCCAAATCCTTCTCCAGTATCCATTGTCTGTATAGAGCTGTTCTGCAGCTTTCTTGATTGAGACACTAAATTCTCCCTCAGAGTAGTTCTAATATATTTAAGACATGAAAGCCTCTCTTCTTCTCTGTAGAAGTACTTTACTGACAATTGCCTGACAAAAATCACTGACTCCCAAAGTCTCTTCCCTCAGAAGCCAAACCCTTTAGCTATTGATCCAGACATTAGATTTCAGACAAAGACCAAAAGATGAATGAAACTTTCCCCTCCAGATCAGCTATTTTATTTCCTCTCTAAGCTGATGCTGGCCAATCACATAAGTTCTTCTCTCCAGGGAAGATTTAACTCTTGAACTCCATGACTCTCTGACACAAACAACATTTTAAAAAGCCTGCTTTTCTGTGCAATCTGTCACAAGGTCCTTTGGAATTAATAGTATTTACTTTTGATCAGACATAGGATTCGGTTGTTATTTTTGAAGAAAAGCCTGTCATATGCATAAAAGCCTAATAAGAGGCTGCATAATACTTGTCAACCATTGTCTATCCTATTTATGCCTACTGGAATTACTGGATCTTTGATAATTTTTTAGCTTTCTTAACAGAGAAGAGATAATAGACTATTTGGCACCAGCAAGAATTAAAAATTAGGACTCCCCCAAACTGAAAAACATAAGCTATGTGTATTTAATGTATTAAAATGTACTAATAATTATTTTATAAAATCAGTATCCAATATAGGATGGCTCAGGCTAGTCAGATCTTGGAAGCTAAGCAGGGTCAGCCCTGGTCAGTATTTGGATGGTAGACCTCCAAGGAATTCCAGGGTCGCTATGCAGAGGCAGGCAATGGCAAACCACCTCTGAATGTCTCTTGCCTTGAAAGCCCTGTGGGGTGGCCATAGCTTAGCTGTGACTTGATGGTACTTTCCACCACCACTTAATTAATCTAGATACTGTGTAGACAAATATGTGTTTTTAAAAATGAATCACTGGCATTTGTCATATACACAAGCTGCTTCTGCTTGATCTTTAGATTAAAAGGTACTGGCCATATGTGAGATCTTAAAGACATGTAGACTACAATTCTGGAATCCATATTTACTTTGAAATGGGGCATATAAAAATCATTGATAAGGATTCAGTTTATTCAAATAAAACCACAGCACATGAACAAGATTTTCTATTTTCTCCAATGAATTATCTTGTGCTGTGTGCTGTAAACAGAAAAACCTCATACTTCAGTTAGGTACTTCCTCCATACAGCATATGAATTAGATAGAATTTAAGCATCAAATATCTGAATTCCCATTCTTTGTAGACAAAGAAAACATTGATAAAAAGATGTAAGAATCTTGCACAGTGTCCACTTCTCTGAATGGAAATATTGGAGAGGAGATCCTAACCAGCCCATGCCTGGATGCTTCTATTGCTCTTGTCCCTATAATCTGCCTTCGTGATACAATGTTTGTTTCCAGTATTATTTCCCCCTTCCGATTCTGTAATAGCTCAGGACCACCACTGCCCCGTTGTCTTTTTGCTGTGTGCCTCCCTTGCTGGTTCACCTTTAAAAGAAGCAACAATGAGATCCATGGGCAAACCTTGTAACATCCAAAGTTATGCATGATTCCACAGTGAACATGTGGACTTAGCTCAGGGTAGATTACCTCATGTGATTTGGTTTGTAGCTGTAGCTTTTATATTGCACCAAGAAATCCAATGGACAACCCTGTGATCTATTTACTCCGTAGCAAATCTCAGTGGGTTGGATCCAGCTCATAGGACTAGATTCAAAGATATAGCCCCATCAAAGGATAGGGAAAGGGATCTGACCATGGAGTAAGTTGTGATTTACTCACAAGTAGAAGAGTGGGCCCTTTATCGCCCCTTCTATAATTAATCATCTCAGCTGACACACAAATCTTAGAATGTTTATTATGTAATCTTAAAAGCAGTGGTCTGAACACAAAATTAAGAAAAAACAGCTGATCTTGCTCCTTTGCCATGATTTGTCATTCATGTTTGAAAATTTGCTGCATTTTTCTTATGGTTTAGGGTTTTAGATAATCATGGATTAAGAACTGCATTTTCTGTTGTGATTTCAATAAAGTTTAATTATATATTACCATGTACTGGATTCCAAAAACATAATTCATGTAATACTTCTTAGGACCAACCACAACATCACAAAACTGTGTATTTAATGCACAGAAGAGCTGTTTATTTAGGTTAGTCTTAACAGAAGGCATGACACAACTTTTGCTTTTGAGACTTGCCTGTGGACCAGTGTACAGCCACTGTAGGTAGCTGTGACCCCAGTTGTGATTTTTAGTAGGAAAGGCAAATGGCTTACTTTGGGCAGCAGAGTAATTCACTGACATTGCAATAACAGACCATTTCACAGCCTTTTCCCTCCCAGAAGTGATCTTGAAGACTTCCATCAATTGGTTGAAGGCTGGTCATTCCCTCTGGAATCCTGTAACAGTCGTGGTCTCTTAGCATTTTTCTGTAACAGGAGGGGCGGCCTGATGGTGTGAGGTTTGCACAAAGAAACATGCTCAGGAAAAGAAGAATGGATAGGATCTTCATTTTTAAAAAATCTTTGCAAGACCTACAGGACAGAGAAGGTTGTTAAGCATGTGTCTGCAAGAGTGATTTTGTTGAATTTCTTTTCTTTTTTTTTGCTCCGTGGTTTCCTGAAACACTTAGGTACCCGTCAAAAGTTTGAGTTTGAAGTGCAAGATATAAATTATACAATTATGTGAATGACTAGCTCTCCTTATTATAAAAGAGTTTTGGTGTTCCTCCTGCACACGGCTCCCACAGCCTTTGGCCCACTCAGCTGCCCGTCTCACAGACTCCCGATCCCCTGGCTGCATTGCCTTGCTGTGTTGGCTCTGCCCCACCCACAGAGCTGTCAGCCAGCGTTTCACTCTCAGTTTGGAGGGAGCCGGCGAAGGGGATGGACGCTCTGCCGAGGGAGCAGTAACCCCTCCACAGGGGAGAAGGAGGCAGACCTAGCGAGCAGCAGCAAGCAGGGGAAGCACGCACCTTCGCTGCCCCTCGCAGACCCTCTCTCTCGGCTGCAAGGCTGGCACTTTGTCAGGGCGATAGCTCAGCGGGCTGCACTGCAGAGAAGGCTGCCCAGTACCTTTCAACAACTCCCCCGTCTTCCGGCAGCGCCAGGGAGGGTCTGGCCTGGAGGAAACGAGCTGCGGCTCTTGGAAAGCCGGACTCTCCTGAGGAAGACACTTCTCTTGGCTCCTGTGTGGGCCTGTGACTAACTGTCCCCTCAGTGGCTCGTGGTAGGCAACCAACTTCTGTCAGTAAAAAAAAAAAAAGGACTTTCAGCATAACCCCCTCCCCCACCCACTGCCATCTTGGCCACTTTCCTGTGGGAATACATTTAAACCGACTGTCCTTCCTTTTTGGCTCAACCATGGCTGGCTGGCTAATGAGGTGGGCCAGTGACCATCAAACTGTTCTCGTCAACCCCCTGCTGTGTGGCTGACTTTCCCCTAGGGTGGCCAGTCTCCAGGTGGGACCTGGAGATCTCCTGCTGTTACAATTGATCTCCAGATGACAGAGATCAGTTCCCCTGGAAAAAATGGCTCCTTTGGCATTATCCCCTGCTGAGTCCTTCCATCCCCCCCCCCCAAATGCTGCCCTCCACGGGATCCAACCCCCAAATCTCCAGGTATTTCCCTAATCAGAGGTGGCAACTGTGCTTTCTCCTCGGTGCCTGTTGCTAGGCAACTAGGTTCTGTCAGTAAAAGGCCCTTTCCACACCTGTTTTGGCCTTTGGGAGAAAACTCATTGGGCCCAGTCCTGATAGGGTTGCCAACCCCAGGTGGGAAATTCCTGGAGATTTGAGTGCAAGTGGAGGAGTGGGGAATCAAACCCGGTTCTCCCAGATTAGAGTCCACACACTTAACCACGACACCAAACTGGCTCTCAAGTTACAAGTTCTTTCAGAGCTGTTCTCTCACGAGCAGTTCTCAAGAGAGCTCTCTCAGCCCCACCTACTTCACAGGGTATTTGTTGTGGGGAGGGGAAGGGAAATGAGACTGTAAACTAGTCTGAGACTCCTTCAAGTAGTGAAGAGTAGGCTATAAATCCAATCTCCTTCTCCTCCTCTCCTTCTTCTTCTCCTTCTCCTTCTCCTTCTCCTTCTTCCCATTATTCTCAAGAGAGAAATGAAGTTTTCAATCTGTATACTGAAAACTCATGAACTTTTAGACATTTTTAAAAGAATTTTGTCAAAGAGGTTCCGGAACTCTGTTCTGGCTCATTCCCCCAGGAAAAAAGCCCTGGCTATCCCACGTCAGACTGCCATGTAGAAACTTCCTACCTGTTTTGTTTTAAGCATATTCTCTCTCTCTCTCTCTCTCTCTCTCTCTCTCTCTCTCTCTCTCTCTCTCTCTCTCTGTATATATATGTATGTATGTATGTATGTATGTATGTATGAGAATTCTGTCAACTTAAGACTGGCACAACACCAATGAGATTCTGTGAACGTGTTAAAATAGGGAAACAGTTGTAGCAAGTCACATCAGCTAAAATGTTCTGTGACTAGAACCGAGACAGTTTAATTGGAAGATGCATTGCCAAGTCATGAATCATTGCTCAAGCAGAATTCCCAGATTCTAGTTCTCCACAAATCCTCAGAAGCAGAGGCAGTTAGGAAAAGAAAGCTTATTGCCGTGCTGCAGGTAACAGTGATGCAGGCCTCTGGAAGGGGGATGGGCTGGGAGGAAGTCAATAATCATGAGCCACCATTCTTTGTAGCTGTTCGGCATCTCTCTGCCCCCCATTTCCTTGTTTCTCTGCTTCTTCTTTAATCAACACATTTAAACAAGATTGAAATTGGTTGAACTGTCATAGCAGTCCCTCAGAAGGCCAGACAAAATGTTACAGTTTTAAAAGAGGTGGGTCTGGGTTTGTTGGGTGCATGTGTGTGTGGGGGGTTCCTCTCAGATGCTCCATGTGGAACTGCAAAATTGGTGAAATAACTCTTCAGCATGGTTTTCATGCAGGAAAATGGCTGGGGGGGGGAAATAGGGGCCATTCCTGCCCTCACAGCAGTGTTCCAAGCCAGTTTCGGCCATCTGTAGAAGCTGTTCCTCACAGCTGCTGTTTGGCTACAAGGGACATGCATTGAGTCAGACTCAGCTCTTTTTAAAAAAACATTTGGCCCAGAGAACCCTGAGACTGGTAGTCTTGCAAGGTCATGTTTATTCTTCATGATAGAATTTCCATATATATCTAACAAAGTGAGTAGTGACCCATGAAAGTTCATATTAAAATACACGTTAGTCTTTAAGGTGCCACTAGACTTTTGTTTTAGAATGACTTGAGGACAGTTGTACTAGCACATGTACTAAGCTAGTCAACATCCTATCTCTCTTAATGGATTTTCTGATGCCCATTTGTTTCTTTGACAACATACTTCTTTCCCACTGCAAATAGCCATTCCTGGCTTTCCTCCACCTCACTGGAACAGGAGGTGCTTCAGAAGAATCCAGGAGACATCACTTTTGGGTCCGTAGGAAGTGTCCATTCAGACGTTGCTCCCTCCATTATAGGGAAGATGCTTGGTTTGCAACCTCAGCCTTCCATGGCAGCCATTTTGTGATGGCACCCACACCCCATTCTCAAAATTCCAAAAGTATCTATAAGCTCAACAAGATTTGGGCCCTCTGTGCCTTTTTGTTGTGTGCTTTCTGCTCAATGGTCTTTGGTCTATCTGGTTTGAGTGATGTGACACCTTTTATTCGGTCTAACCGAAATAATGCAAAAGAGTATTCAGTCTTTCAGGTCTCTAGAACTTTTCATCAGGATGTTATATAGGGCACGGAAGGAAATAATGGTGAAATTGAAAGCTTGCACACTGTGTCATTTTCATTTGCCCCAATAAAACGTATCACGGGTTTTCTTGAGTTTTTCTTTAGACCAGTGTAGCTACATGCAGCCTCCTTCCATAAATGTCATTGGAAGATGCAGTGATTGGTGCAGTGGTGTCTGTGGAACTGTCAGTCTAAGAATATTGCTTGACCGATTTTCTGTCCCATGGTTTGAGACTGGATCTAAGTATTTGATATATTTCTTTTTGAATTAATGTTTTGTGATGTTTGGAAACATAAAAATTCCCTAATTTACAAAATATATATTTATAGCATGTGTTCTCAGTAACACACAGAGGAAATAAAACCAGCAGTGTATAGCTATACCAAACAGGAGTAAAAGCTTTAAACATACAGCTTTCCGTTGGGTTGTACCGAAAGTATTTCATTTTCTTATTTTTCTAGCATCTCGATCTAGTTTTCCAGCCAATATGGAAGTACTGTAAGACTCTGAAGTATATTTCCTATTCTTTGTTTTGAACGAGAGCTTTCTAATGGCCCACATTTCAAAATCTTCCCATAATCAGAGTGACTTGGACTATGCCTGTAGCATGTTTCAACTTTCTAGGTTCTGCGTGAGTACCCTAACAATCTGGATACCTGCGAATATCCCACATGTCATATATTTATTTACTTCATTTACAACCCCGCCTTTCTCCTCAATGGGAATCCAAAGCAGTTTACGTTGTTCTCCATTTTATCCTCATTAACCTATCCTGTGAGGTAGGTTAGGCTCAGCCTCAGAATGTATGACTGGCCCAAAGTCACCCATCGACTTTCCATGGCAAAGTTGGGGATTTGAACCTGGGTATCACAGATTGAAGTCTGATGCTCTAACCACCATACCACATTGGCTTTCATACAGTACATATATTAAAAGGCATGTATGTATATTATGCTGATTAATAGTTTTAAAAACAAATACCCTAATTCCACCAGAATGTCTCAACATTAAAAGTATCAACATTCCCTTTAATTTCCCAGGACACTCAATACTTTGTGCTTGATGGTGGGGACAGCTGCTAGTCCACTGAGGATAAACTCCATGAATTGCCTCTCTGTTAAGACCATCAATACTGTGATTCTTTGCAGGAGATGGATTTATATTAAAAACCCATTTAATTTCTTTGAAGAAGATAGACTATCTTAGAAAACCTCTTTAGATTCTTCCTTGTTTCCCACAATAACGACCAGGCAACAGCCTCGTGTTCTTGTGGCACCACGTTAACTAAAAATTTGATTTTGCACTCAAACTCTTTTGTACTCATCTTTGGCTGCTTAGTCACAATTCTGAAGCAAAATAGAATCTCCTTGTAGCCCCCACCCCCCGTGAAGCGCATGGTGCCACTAGCTCCTCGGAGTGTTTTCTGTTCTCTAATCAGTACCTGGCTTGACTTTTACGTCTTGTAACTAGCCCAGAGAGAACCAATTACGTAATTAGGATAATTTGCAGCAAAAAAGACTTACCTTGCTCCCTTGTTTCTGTGTTGCTTAGCTCACTGGCAGCAGAATCGTTCCAAATGCCCAAACAGAGCATTAAACTACAGTGTCATGAGGAAGAGGGAGGAGGCTAAAGGACGTCCTGGATAAATACTTCTTTGTCTGGCCTGGCTCCTGTTTGCCAGTGGCAGACTCTCTTTTCTGTCCTGGGCTACAGAAAGGGAAGGGACTGCAAGATCAGCCTTC